GACTCAACATGAGCTAGCAATGTGTGCTTACAGCCCAGAAGGCCAACCATATCCTGGGTTGCATCAAGAGAAGTGTGACCAGCAGGTCAAGGGAGGTGATTCCCTCTATTCTGCTCTTGTGAGACCCCATTTGGAGGACTGTGTCCAGTTCTGGAGCCCCCAGCACAAGGACGTGGAACTGTTGGAGTGGCCATGGAGGAGGGCCATGAGGATGATCAGAGGGCTGGAGCTCCTCCCCTACAGACACAGGATGAGGGAGATGGGGCTTTTCAGCCTGGAGAAGGGAAGGCTCTGGTGGAACCTAATAGCGGCCTTCCATTACCTGAAGGAGGGCTCCAGGAAAGCTGGGGAGGGACTTTTTACAATGGCATGCAAAACCAGGATGAGGGGAATTGGTTTTAAACTGGAAGAGGGTAGATTTAGACTAGATATTAGGAAGAAATACTTCACTGTGAGAGTGGTGAGACATTGGAAGAGGTTGCCCAGTGAAGCTGTGGATGCCCCCTCCTTGAAGGTGTTCTCAAGTACAGGCTGGACGTGGCTGTGAGTAACCTGGTCTAGAGGGAAGTGTCCCTGCCTGTAGCAGGGGGGTTGGAACTACATGATCTTAAAGGTCCCTTCCAACCCAAACCATTCTATAATTCTGTGATATTTTGTATATACATATATTTGTATAGCTGTAGGTTTAACATTTTGGGTACTGCAGAAAGGGAAGTGCAGATCACAGAATTGCCAGGGTTGGAAGGGACCTCAAGGATCATGAATCTAAATAGTGAAATGATTTACTGAAGAACACATGCAGGTTTGTGACAGAGTCAGGCACAGACACTGAGCTCTTTGTTACCTGCCTTTCATTAACAATGCCAAAGACTGAGAAAGAATGGCAAATGTTGAAAAGTTTCATGTTTACTCAAACGATTATTGGTAAAATAATGATGATTTTAGACTTCATTTAATTGTCTTGCCTGAGTTTTAGGACTTCCTCTTATATTACAAGCCTGTGTTAATTCTGACATGCATGCCTGTCATGCTAATGGACACATTGCTATAGAGGCCTAAATGGAAAGTTAAAATCAGAAGAGAAACTTTTTACAAGCTCAGAAATGGTAGTACAAAACCAGAATAGAAATGAGGGAAGAACATGCCACATCCTCTGAATCTAGTGTGTGTTTTACATGATATTGCAGACATCCAAGGGCCACATACTAGGTGGAGTACTGGAGGTACATGTCTGTTCGGGAAGGGGAACTGCCACTTGAAGGTAGAAAACTTTAGAATATTTTTAAATGGTCTAAAATAATATTGGAAAGGAGGAGAGAAAAAGACATCTCTTCAAATAGATGAAAATAAATTGGGTGACACAGCACACATGTACACTTACACACGCATACATATTTATAAAGTTCTGATGGCCTTTCCAGGATACCATACATACAAGTGTAAAAAATATGCTTCCACACACTTTTCTCATGTTTTCATCTCTATTCATGTATTTTTTCTCTTTCAAGTGTACTCTGGCACTCTCAGGACAACTTCTCTTTGTGAAGGAATCAGGCAGCCCTGTGGAAATTATGGCCTTGCCTATTTATTCCTATTGTTGTCAACACAACATACACAAACTCCTTTGGGCTGCCAACTCTCATCTCTTACAGCACGGAAATTGAATCGGGTATCTTGGACTTAAAAAATAACATAGCTTCCAAAAATGTACCTTGATAATGTCCTTGAGCTTTCTGCTGGGGTGAAGACAGATGCAAAAAAGCAGGAGCAGGAGTTTGTGGTTATTGGGTTATATATGTACACACAGAGGCATAAAGACAGTGCAATTACAATAGCTCACCTCCTTTGGGAACTATGCTAAGCACTGTATCTTTATTTGAAGAAAACAGAAAATATCGTATGCTATTACTGATCCTCTTTGAACTCCAATTCATTATTTTTCATTAAGAGCACTGGACAACTGTTGATAGCAAAAGCAACAGAAAATATTGTGAAGTCTGACAATGAATGCTTCCCTTCCCTTTGATGTAAGGTAAAATTTTGGTTATTTTTTATAGTAAATGGTTTGGGAAGAATTGAATACAACTTGACAGAACTGCAGGATTTCTGGCAGGCTGCTGGCAAGACTGGTCAAAGGTATTTAAGCTTTCACAATATTTGGTGATTTATTAACAAGGTTTGATTATATGTTTACAACTGCTGAAATAATGATTATGAAATGTTACTAACACATTACAAGTTTTTGCATTTGTTACAAGCAGCAGATTACTTTCTGTTGAGGAGAAAGCATTAAAAAAAACAACACATGAAATACCACAAAAATGTTATGAAAAAAATACAAATGCCTTTCATACAGAAGTTAGAACACTGGTAAATTAATACACATCTTAGTTGGAAATTGCATGCATTGGTTACTTATAACATAATGGTTCTTTCACCCTTTGAATGCAGTTGCTCAATAGTAAACTAACTTTTCTAATATCACACAGAAAATGCTGTCCAAGCTCAGAATATCCCAAAACACCAGGCCACTGCATGGCCTGATTTTACACAAACAGTGCTCTGTTTATGAAGGTGTGCCTGGGTACTGGTGGTGGTGCTGAGCTCATCTGGGGACAATGGGAGGAAGGCAGGATGGTAACAGGCTCTCTTTACCTCAGAGCTGCTAACATTGCTGGAACTTCAGGATTGTGACTTCTTTCTTCTGTCAAAACTGACTGAAGCAAATATACAGGTTCAGGAGCTGCTGTGGGAAAAAAGTATTGTAGTACTGTTGGACAGGACAGAGTACAGACAAGCTAGAGACATAAGCTCTGACTTCTTAGGAAGGCTAAAAACACACTGGCTATCAAGGGCTAGCCATTTTGTAAGAGGTATGATCTGGACTTGCATATTTACTAGCACTTCAAGTGCAAATTTTGACTGATGGGAAAAAATCCACATGCAGAAGAACACTGTTTCTCTACAAACGATTTCTTGCCATTTGCTTAGGCCAATTGTAAGATTTAGTCTGATTTAACATACCACATCTAGGTAAAATAGTGTTTAGGTCCTAGCTTGGAAAGCTGCTGTGTTCTGACAAGTTTCTACATGTGTGCAATGACTTCTAATTTCTGATTGGTATGCCTGGGTAAAGTGGCCTCAGGTGCAAAGCAATTTAGGAATCTGGGACATGACCTGTGGCTTGATTTTGACAGTCATGTTGCATCCGGAGAAACTAATGGCAGCTGCAGACAGCAGTTCTTATTGGTTATTATTTTTGAAAAGAAATGGACTAGTCTAAGGCCATGGGCCACAGGCCTTACAGGGCCACATTAGAAAATCGTTGGAAACGCATTGTTTTCTGCACCTATAATCTGCTTCAGCTGTGTTTGTCCTCCAATTAATTCTCTTTAAATAACCTTTCCTGTTTTCCTTGGCTTAGAGAAACATTTCTGGCAAACGATGTTGAAAAGAGAAAATACAAATAAAGGTTTGACCATTCCTGAACATTTGAAATATGATCAGCATGAAGATTCATGTAATCTGGTCCCATTTTTAAATACTGATGGATTACACAACTCCAAACAATTATTTCCATCATAACAAAAATTATTCTTTGGAAATTATTTTAGTAAAGTTTTCATAAAACTGAGATGTTTACAAAACTCGAATTATGAACATATGAACAGGTTATACTTGTTTGTAACTTGGAAAATTGCAGAATATAGAAATAGGATTAATGTTTCCATTTCAATTAAAAGATTTCTGTCTTTCTCAGGCTGTAGTTTGGCCTCACGGAAGGCTTGTTTTTTCCTCAGGTTCTTAATGGAGCATTAGATAGCTATGGTTATTTTAAGGAAAATCTTTGTAAAGAAGACTATCAGACTAAAATATTTGCATGGGTAGGTTTTTTTATTGCTGTTCTTTATATAATAACTTGTTCACTCTTATAAAGCTATTAGCATGTGTTCGTTTTGTTTGTTTTTTAAACTATGTTGTATTCCTTTGTTTCTGAGTGATAGGACTGAGGAAAACTCCAGCTGTTGACCAGCAGTTACTTTCCTTATGTGCAGTCTTAACTTCCTTAAAGGTTTCCGGGGCCCTCACACAGAAGAACAGCAGTTTTGTGTTTCCACACTTGTGGCAGGCTGTTGTGCAAGGGCCTCCAGAAGCATGCAGGAAGATGGATGGGCACAGCAGGTTGTCTGTGGCGGTCCTTTTTCCAAAAGCAGGAGCAGGAGGCAGAACCAGAACTATTGCCACAAGGGAGAAGTAAGGGTGTTATGTCATAAATAAAAGATGGGACACAGGATCTCTACGTCCCGCTCCCCAGTAAATCCAAGTTCTTCTGTGCTTCTAGGCAAACTACATGGTCAGCTTTGGGCTCTCAGACAGCCAAGTTACCGATGATGCTTTTGTGCCAGGGCCGCTCCTCTTCCCACAGCCGGTCAGGGTTTCTCTGCGATTTGTAGCACTAGGTGGAGGAAACACTGCCTCTCTAGTTCCTAGAGGTAACAAAGGTTAAGTCGGTAGCAATCAGCAGCCGGCAGACCGGACGGAGACACGCGCACAGGTACACTCGCTCTCCAGCAGCCCCGCCTGAGCACCCAAGCAGGTGCAGCGGGCTTCCCCGGCAGCACCCCTCGGGGCACTCGGGCAGCAGCGGCCCGGCCGGGTTCGCAGGGGGAGGCCTCGACCGGGACAGAGAGCCGCCCGCCTCCCTGCGCGCCGTGCCGGTGCCCTCCTCTGAGGAAAAGCGGCCGTCACCCCGGCGGCCCGGCTGGCGGCTGCCGCGGAGGCCCGTCCCCCTCGATCCGGGTATCGCCGCCCCCTGGGCCGCGGCGGGAGAGCTGCGGAAAGCGATCCCGCGGCCGGAGCGGCCCGCCGGTACGTAGCGGGGCGACGGGCCCGGGGCTGGCGCTGCCAGCTTCCCCCTGCCGGGACGGGCGGCCGCGGGGGAGGGGAGCGCGGCGCTTCGGTGCGGGGCAGGCGGGCAGCGGGCGGGGCGGGCTGCGCTGCGGCCTGACGGCTGCCTGTCGCCGGGCAGGGGGGGAAACACGGTTGCCGCGAGTTTCTCGCCTTTAAAAACAATAAAATACTTAACGCAAACTGCGGGGAGCGGCGTAAGCGAAGGTGCGATGCTGTGCAGATACAAAAGTGCATGTCCTTGTCCCCAACAGCAACCACTGCTGTCTTGTTTTTGCTATCACTGCACATTGCTGTTATTGCAGAAGCTGCTGGAGTTGTGCTGTGGTTTCGTGTCTGCAGCATGCACCGATTATTCTAGCCTTAACATTTTGTGATTTAAAAGCAAAGTAGGTGGTTTGGGTAGAGTGGGAAAACGTCTTTAACTCTGCCTGTTATTGTTGTCTCACAATCTTAGGAGAGCGCAGAAATGTCTCACTTTGAAAATAAAGGATTGATACTGGGCATAATGGCAGGGACTGCTGGAATAAGCCTGGTCCTGGTTTGGTACCACAAGACCCGAAAACCCAGCGCAGCCATGCATATGCCTGCATTCACAGATGTAGGTAACAAGCTTCATTCTGTGGCTTTGGAACATGAAGCCCATAATGAACAAGGAGCAGTCATGGTTTTACATGGAAGGCAACTACAGATACTTGAAAAACTGAACGGTTTGCTAATAAGTGTGGATGAACTGAAGAGAGAGGTGAAATTTCTAAAAGAAGCTATTCCAAAGCTGGAAGATCTCGTTCGAGATGAGCTCCAAGGGAGAGGGGATGCACAGAGAGCTAGCCCATCACACAGAGCAGCAAGGCGGAGGAAAGCGGAGGCAGCATCTGGTGCAACAGAAACTACCAGCTCTGAGGAGGCGGAAAGTGAAGGGGGGTGAGTTGGTCACGTTTTGTTTCTGCTATAGTTCATATGCAGTGCAAATTGCATTATTATGTAAGTGAAGCTTTGTGTTCTAAACAGTAGTCCTTTTAAAGTTTTATGTATATTTTATATTTCTCTTTTCAGAAAAAGATGAGATTAGTTGTTTTCAAATCAGAGAAAACTCTCTGTGACCCTCTGTCTGCACTGTGGTTGGTCCAACATGAAGTCCAATACAGGCTGCTATACTTGTGATTGGAGACAGTCCGCTGCAGCACTGCTACATAGCTGTGCAATGAGAAGCAAAGTTCAGGATGATGGTGTGATTTATAATCACTTTCAGCATTAAGATAGTCTTGCTTAAGTCTCTGACAGAGCTGGTTCAGACTTTAGGAGTGGTTTTAGTTGTTTTTTCCTATGAACCTTACAGATGAGTTGCTACAGTGTTCTGCCAAAAGGTGTTGCGTGCTTTGGAAGTTATGTCTGAATGCAAGGCGTGTACACAAGGCAGGCTTGTTTATATATATTTGCTACTGTATATGTTTCCTGGTTGCTTAATATTAATCATGAGTGATTCAGGGTACTGACTAAGGTTCAGAGTTCCTGGTTTTGATCACAGCTCATAGTCCAATTGCTGTTAATGAAGTCCTCATTTGGGCCTCATTTGGGGAACATGCTGAAGGATGAGATGTACCTGGAGTTCAGGAGAGGAACTGTAGTTCTATAATTTCATCTGTTGCCTAATACACCCTACAGTAGTAATGTGAGAATAGTGATGAACTTACTCCCCTGTAATTTCATCTTTGTTTTGCTATTATAGATTAGAAATTTACATGCAGTTTATTCAGTGTGTGTTTATAGCAGCTGTTTTCTGGTTAACATCTCCTCAGTGTTTTACATACATAGCGTAGGCAGCATGATGCCTGTAAATTGTCCATCTTAAGTAACTTTTTTCTCTACTGATGTGTATTTTAACAACAATAATCTGAAGACAACAATGTGCTGCACATAGTAATTAATGAAATTCTGTTTTTGAAGAGTTCCTCCATATGTATTTTCAGTTCCCATGGGCAGAATCTTGTCTTTTGTTACATCCCAGCCTTCTTGCTTTTATTTTGATAGCATATTCTGAGAACTATCAGTTCTTTACAAATCAGTTGTTACCCTTTTTTTACTTTAAGCATTCAATATTGGCAACGGTTGTCAAAAGCATTTCCTCCTCTTGTGTACAAACATTTCAGGTTCTGTAGTTTCCCACACTGTTTTATAGTTTGGTTGATTTGCAGAGTTCTTTATACTGAGCATAAAATATTTGGAGATGTAGATAAATCTAAAGCACCAGTTGACAATAATCAGGTTCACATGCACAGTATAGTTGTCATTCCACACCTGACACTGAGATCGTTACATCTTGTCAGGAGTGATGCATTGCTGTTTGGGAACTAACCAAGGAAACTTGTCTGTTCAGGTTCTGTGTGATGAAGAAACTGATGGGATGATCCAACACAAGTGATTATAGTGTGCAAGAGTACTGAGTGTGTCCTGAAGAGAGGCCTTCTCTGATGAGTATTTGCGTACAGTTGGAAGGAAGGATGATAATTCAAGGTTGTAGATAGCATTAGTCATTTGGATATGTAATTTTTCAATGATTTTTAATGTGTTTTGAACAGTAGAAGATTTTTTTTCCCAACACCTTCTACTCAGTGTGCTTGTTTCACATGTCTTCTTTATACTTAGGATAATTTTATTTTCACTTTAGTAAGTTTCTTCTTCTTCTTTTAAATGGAAATAGGTTAATAATCCTGGTTTGCATACAGCTGAGATGTATATAGGTTTTTCTGAGGACATAAGTAACTTCAGTGTCAGTGATGCACGTTATATGAGAGTTTTCTATAAGTGACAATAAGACAGAATTTTTTTGAGTTAATATGCTTCACTACTTCATGTGCTTGTAAGTGTGTAAATGCCATGAGCACTGCTTTATGCTGTCCTGTGGTAAGTCTGTGCATGGCAATGCATTCAGCTACTGGCTTGTGCACTAGAGAGATAGCATTGTTCTTAGTTACAGATTAAACTTCCTTTTTTCACTTTTGGTTTTCTATCTAGGATGAAGTACATGCAATGTGTTTCACAGCCCCAGCAATATCTTTATGATCCTGAAAGAAGGGTTTTGCTTGTGTTAGGCAGTTCTGGCTTTAAATGACACATGAATAGGTTGTGCCAAATGACTCCACCAGTTTCAGGTTTGCAAACTTCTCCCAGGAAAGCTTTTAATGTTACTTTCCCCTCCTCCCCCCCAAAAAAAACATTTGATGCTGGCATTCCCTGCTGTGACCTTCACTGCTTTGATCTATTCTGGTCTGTTCCCAATGTCACTGTTGATGTTCAACACCTTGGAGAGAGAAGCTTTGCGTTATTGCCTTTCAAAAATTATATATTTCTTTCAGTGGAAAAATAGCACTTTTTATTTAAAAAATTGTAATTTTTTTCACGTAATAAAAGCTAGCCTGATTGGAAGATATGCTGAATTAATGAGACGTTGACTGAATACTCCAGAGCTCACCGCATCTAGTCTGTTCTACATTCTGCTTTTAACCATTTCAGTTTCTATTCTTCATCTCAATCTTTACCATTTGAGAAAGTGTAACAAGGGCACATTTATTTAAAAATAAATACATTGTGTCTAGGTGATCACCTTCCAACTTATGTTGGAAGATTTCCCCTAATTCTATCCCAATTGCCATTTTAATGAGATTTATAGTTTGGTTGGTTTGCAGAGGCCTTTATACTGAGCATAAAATGCGCAGTGGTGATGAACCATTGAAACTAGTGTCACATTTGGCACCAGTCTTCAACAAGCCAGTCACCCAGGCTTTTCAAATCACACTTGATGTCAGTCGCCAGAAAGATTTACATCATAAATCCTTTTCCTTCCTATGTTTTATGTATAACTTTAAAAAAAAAAAACATTTCCTTTGCCTGCTTCTAAGAATTACTTCCCATATCTCTTCATTTGTTATCCCTTTCCATTTCTTTTCAGTACAGTCTTCAGCTGACCTGACTCAGGTTGGGCAAATGTTTCCTCAAACCCAACCAGTTGATCCAGTCTGTTGAACTATCAGAGCGAGTTTACACCACAGCAGTGTTTTATACCAGATAGCTCAATCATGATTTTCTTTTTTTATGGTGTTTTTTTTTTAAATGCAATACTGTGTGTCTGGATTTTCTAACAGCTTAACAGTGTGGTGAGTCTACAACATGGTTTGCTTTTTGGACTTTGAACAGTCTTCTGTGGTCTGAGTCCTGTTGGCTGACCATTGCTCCTCACATTCTTATCACTCACTGTTGTTACCTTTTAAATAAAATCTATTGGTAATAAAGATTAACACAGTTTGCAGTGAGTGTAGTCGTTTTTTAAGTTCTTCTAGTTTCTCAGGTATTGCTTAATGTATTTTTAACATGTAAATATTCACTTTTCATAGAATCATCTATGTTTGAAAAGACCTTCAAGTGTACAGCCACAGAATGATTTGGGTTGGAAGAGACACTAAAGGTCATCTGGTTCCAGCTTCTCTTTCTATGGGTAGGAACACCAGCCTCATCCAGCTTGGCCTAGAACACTTCCAGAGATCAGGCATCCACAGCTTCTTAGTGCAGCCTGTTCCAGTGCCTCACCACACTCATCATGAATGATTTCTTCTTAATGTCTAATCTAAATCTACCCTCTTTCAGTTTAAAGCCATTACCACTTGACCTATCACTACACTCGCTGACAAAGAGTCTGTCTCCAACTTTCTTGTAGGCCTTCTTTAGGTAGTGGAAGACTATCAGTAGGTGGTAGTGGAAGGAATAGGGATCTCCACAGAGCCTTCTCCAGAAGAAACAAGCCCAGCTCCTTCAGCCTGTCTTTGTAGGAGATGTGCTCCAGCCCTCTGATCATCTTCACGGTCTTCTTCCACTCCAGCAGCTCTATGTGCTGAGGGCCCCATGCCTGGGTCCACTTTAGTTGGGGCCTCATAAGTGCAGAGGCACGATCACCTCCCTTGTCCTGCTGGCCACTTCTTATTTGATGCATCCCAAGATACACTTGGCTTTCTGGGCTGTAAGTCCACACTTTTGGCTCATGTCAAATTTCTTATCAACCAATAATATAAAGTCCTTCTTGAGGCTGCTCTTAATCCAATCACATCAAACCATTTTCTGTTTATGATCTGATAAAACAACAGGTGAAATAGCAGATGTTAGAATACTTACATAAAAGATTTGAAGAACAAACCATAGTAACTGTTCTTCCTTTGTTTATAATTTCCATCTTGATTTACTTTCATGATCCCTTAAACTCTAGGAGATTTTGGACTCTGTTGAAATAAATCTTTGCTTTGCTTCTGTACATATGTACACTTAGTATAGCTCTTCATAACATGCAGCTTGCTCTTCTGATATGAGCAGATGTGTAAACCTGCTAGCTGGTTTTTGAAATCAGCCATCAAGCTCTTTTTATAACAGTTTGATATCAATAATATTGATTATACTCTTATTTTGGCCGGAAATAAAACTCTCAAAATAAAACTACCTTCAGTTCGGACAGCTTACCCACATTGATAGGAAAAATCCTAGCTATTTATTTTTTAGAGGTCCATATAGCCTTCTTAATGTGTTATGGTTTTGTGCTTAAAATGTTTCAACCATGACAAGGATTGAACAGAGAGCTAGTAAGAAAATTAATGCAATCAGAAACAAAACAGAAAAAAGCTTTACTTGTGCCTTGATTTCCAAAATGCTGAAATGATGTTTAATACTTAACTAAATTATCTTGCTCTTGTTTTATCCCTGTGGCTCCTGAGCAATGTAGGAGTTTGCCTGGGTTGCCTGACTGGTGAGATGGGGACTCAACAGAGAAAGTGGTTACTTTTTAAATATAATCCTATTCAGCTTCTCATATGTGAAAGTGGAGGACCCTAATGTATGCTCAGCATTTTGCACAGTAAGGCCAACTGCTTATCTCTGTGTGGTATTTATGGCTTTTGTAAATATTTCCTTGTCCTTGACTGCCTTGTGCTGAGTACTTCTGCACAGAGCATAATTAATTACCATAAGATCTTTCCCAGTTTCAGATATTCTAACCTTCAGAATGTACAGAAGATCACTGTTATCAATTTGTTTACGTGTATTATCGCTTATACTTAGATCTTCAAAGTGTTTAAGAGGACATTGTGTAAGTGATTCTTACAGCACTTCTGTTGTGGTTATTAAGCTCATTCCCATTTCGAAATATAGAGAAATTGAGGTAAAGAGTTGAAGAGATTCAGGTCTGCAAAGCGTTCAGGATTGCAGAGAATGTCTTAGTAAACATTAGTGATTTGAAGTGTGCTTCAAATGGAGAACAAGGACACATATTTCTAATATGTCTCTAAGTTTTTTGAATGTAGGATTAGGCAGGACAGTTTGAAATTTTGGTTGTGCTGTCCTTTTGAAGATAAAGGTACTGTAATAATTATAAGCTTGATTTCATGAATAAAAACTTTTCAGTCTGGACAAATGGAATAAATTGCACTGAATTTTTTTGCATTTTAATTTCACAGTGATTTGCCGTATTTTTAGAAAAGATAGTTATTATTTTCTGTGATTTTTAGTTATCTTACAGCCCATACTGATACTGAAGGAGACTCTGAGGAAGAGAAGGGCTGTAAGAAGTCACCTGATACCACTGTGCAGCCAGAAGATGAATTATTTAATCTTCTGCAGGAGGTGGACAGTTTGCACAAGGGTTCAGAGGATGACAAAAAGGAGAGCTTCAAACTACTACTTGAGAAAGAAGCCAAGGTATTAGTGTTACATTGCTATTAACTTATGCTTAGCACTACCTCTGTGAACTCCCTTAATGCAAGTGTTAAAATGCACATAGGAATGAAAGTGCAATTTCATACTTACTTTGAAAATATATTGAAAAATAAATATTTCAAGGTGGCACCAATGTTCATGTTGGGTGGGCATGAAAATTTTGTTGTATTATATCTCATCTACACTCAAAAATTTAGAGATTTTGTATTTTTGTGTACATTAAAGAGATATTGTGGGCTTTTTTCCTGGGTAAGTGAAAGTTTTTTTGCTGGTTTTAGAATGGCCTGTATGAGAAAGTTCTGTGGAATATGGTATTAACCAGACCAAGTGTTGTGAAGAAATCAAACTATGAGCCTGTAGTCTGCTTATACCTTTATAAGCAATCTTATAAATCTTCATGTGCACTTTTCCTTTGATGGCTTTACTGTGTACTTGTTTAACTCTTGATAAAATTCCAAAATGCTTGACAGTTAGCACTCCATTCAGTGTATCAATTTCATATTTAGTTCTGATTACATTTATGTATTGGAATACCCAGGCAAGTTGATGAAATGCTACTTGCAAGTGAATTTGATGCTCATTTCAAATCTAAAGAAAGCATACATCACATCAGTCAGGAATCTGTTGGATTTTATGGGGTTACACTTATATTTTTAATTAAAAAAAAAAAAGAACTTTTAAACTGGTTTTTGAAATGAAGCCTCTTTAGCTTGTTTAGAGTACTTCCAAAGTATTTTTCTCCTTCGGGAGTGAGAAATTGATATCTGATTCTCATGTAAATTAAAAGTAGTCTAAAAGGATGTAAAATGACCAAATATTTATGCTGTGTTTGTCTTACCCACTCTAAGTATTGTTAAAGGAAACTGTGTAAATCCCAATCTGATCTGATTCTAAGCTGCTCTCTGCTTTCAGTATGAAAACTGCGTGGACTTCCTTTGGAGATTTGCACGTGCTTATGGAGATATGTTTGAGATGGCCACTGATGCTGAGGAAAAGAAAAGATATGTTTCTGACGGTAAGTAGATGAAAAATGATTATGTACAACTTTTTCTGAATGTAGTAAAACACACTTTGAACTTTGGTAATGTTTTGCTATCTAAACAACGTCCATTCTGATAAATGAGAGCATTTGTACTGTAATAAAAATATTTTGCACAAAACCTATCATGTACAACTTCAGTCCATTCTTTCTTCTCTGAAGATATCAAAAAACGGTGTATAAAAAGTCTTGGTCACAATTTAAGTCTGTTGGCTATGGATGATGCCTTAAAAATCTTCATTTTTATGAGAATCAGATGGAAACTGATATATATATATATATATATACATATATAAAATAATAATAATTTTAAAATGAAAGAATATAAAAAAATATTTCAGCACAGTTTCTGTCTTAATTTAACCTTTGGGAGAGAGAGAAGAAAAGCAAACTCAAGGCTTGTTTTTCTGAGGCAAAGTAGCACTCCTGCAAATCAGCAATTTCCTTTACAATAGTACTGGGGATAAAACTGTTTCTTGTTGATGTTTTTGTCAAGATTCCCATGTATGACAATTTAAGATGTTGCTTCCAGGTGTCCCTTCCTATGTATCCTGTTTGATAGCTTAGCCATAACAATGTTCCAATGTTCTTCACAGCATTTTTTTTCTTTATTGCTTTTAAAAGCACTTCTCTTTCTTTTACAGTCTAGTTTCATATTGGCAAGAAGGACAGTATTTGTTTCCCTTTTTGTATTGGATCCTCTTCTCTTGACTACAATAAAGCCTACTTCTTTTCTACCTGTATCACCCTCCTCCAGTCTTTCCAAACACTTTGTTCTTATGGCAATCTCTTTGCCTGTATCTGGGAATCCCTCTCTGTCCTTTATTTCTCCATTGCCTCTCCCTTTTTGCTGCAACAAAGTAAGGTTTTGTAAGTGTATTTCAAGTTCATGTAATTCAGTCTTTTGTGACTCTTCTAATGTTCTGCAGGTTGTTTGTTTTTGTTTTTTTCTGTCAGAAGGAAGGACAACACTGAAAAAGCAACTTTGGCTGCAATTTGTCATCCTTAAAGGCAGTGTCATGTCCCTGGGCTGTTATTACTTATTCTGTAGCCAACTTAGGCATATCCCAAGGTCCCTGACCTTATCTTTTTGTTCCTGTACTTTCGTCATAAAGACTTGTGCTTTCTTAACTACTTAATTGATGCTGTCTTTGGTTTAGTAGCAGTTTGGCTTCTTTATGTGGAAGTTGCTGTGAGGATTATAACAAAACTATTTCACAACAGGGATCTCTGTTGTTGGATTTTTGCTTTTACCAGTGACTAGTTGTAGCCTCTCCTGATGGAAGATAACAGCATAGCAAAAGACAGGGATTGAGAAGGAATGACACAGGGTTTAGGTCTTGGGTAATCAGCCTCCTTCGGCTCGTTCTCATAAGGGGTGGGTGGTGGCAGTCCTTTTCATCTCTGTTTTTGGAAGGATGCAGAGGGATTGAGACTGCAGGGGAGCTGGCAGTAGTTTTGTGTTTTTTCATTCCATTGGGTTAGAGGACTGTGTATGCTGCTCTTTGTTTTTATGAAGTTAACTTGTAATACAGAAATGTCAGTGTGGCTTAATTGGTTGCAGCTGAAACAGTGCAAAGAGCGAGCATCTCATCTGGGTGTGTGGGTTTGATGAGGGCACTTTCTGTCATCTTTATTCAGTTAAAAGCAGAACATAATGGAAGACTTTGTACTGGAAAGGAACTTCAACTAGCTAATCCCTGTACCCAAGGAAGGAAGCAGCTCTGCTGCTTATTCTGACAGGTGCTTATCTAACCTGCTTTTAAAGGTCTTAGAAATAACACTGCCTCCTTCAACAGTCCAGTCTAGTCCTTCTCTGATTCAGTTGCATCTGACTTGATAAAATGGATTAAGAAAAAAATAATAAATTTGCAATCATTTAATTGGGGTCTGAGTGCATGTATACAAGAGCAAATTGTGTAAAGTCATGATTGTCAACCTATATTTGCAAGAGAATTTTGAATTTCCTTACAGCCAGGATATTTCTGATTGCTTAGTTCTTGTTACTTGCCAAAGATGTAGAAGATTATAATAGATCTTTTAATATATTGTATTCCTGTTACAGGAAAGGCTAAAGCTGAAAAGGCTGTCAAGTTGGATGCCATGAGTGCTGAGAGTCACCAGTGGTAAGTTCGGAAAATTAATTTTTTAATTAATTAATTAAATGTATTTATCAAATCCAACGCAAGAGACAGCTGCCTTTGGCTATAAAGAAGTATCCACGTTATGGTGGAGCTGAATATAAATTTCATAAAATATTCTTTAATATTTTTCATAGTTTTATGGAAGCCATTTATTATTAGTTGTAGCTACATAATTGCATTGAAGTATTCCATGGAGCATTTATTATAGCACGTGAGACAACTCACTAACCATGCTTTAATAACTACTGTGAAATATAGGTGGGAGTATTTGCCTCAGTCAGTGCATTATTGCTCAGAAAAACTGTAGTTTTCAATTTACTTTCTCTCTCAGCTCTTCTCAAAATAACGTCATTTGGCCTCAGACTTTGTCTTTACCTTTATGAAAAGTAAGCGTTCTCCAAAATTTTGATAAGCTAAACTCCAGTAACTACAAATAGATAATAAGAGAATTATGAAAATTTCAAATAACTTCTCAGATTTTGCTTTATTGGATAATTTTCCTCCAAGCTTGGCAGTTGGATTAACTTCATAGACCTTTCCTGTAATTAAAAAATCTTTGCACATGTGAATTATTCTTGTCTGATCATCATTATCAGATAAAAGATCATTTTACTGAGTTCTGATAATAGGTCCTCACATTGCTATTTTGTTAATCAATTTCACTGACCTCCTGATTTCTTTTCTAATATTCTTAGCTTTCCTTTCCATTTTAGCTTCTATGTTTGTAATTAATTTTATCCTCACATACTTAATTTGGGAATTCACTTAGCTTTCAAGTATCTAAACCTAATCCTGTTATTTCAGGCTGTCTAAAAAGAAGTAGCCACTTGTGGAGTGTGGTTTATCTAAGTTCATTTTACCCACCTGAATTGGAGTGACAATAATTTCTCCTCAGGTTGTTAACTACTTGGTTAGATACAGATGGTTTCATTTAAGTAGGTGACTTGTGGGCTTGGTATCTCACTCTTTCTGACCTTCAGAAATGGCTGTGTTATGGTTTTGTGCTGTGTTGCTATGAGCATTGCCGCATTTCTTCTTTTTTCTCCCTTTTGGTTTATAGCAACTAGTGACCAAAATACCCACTATGTAACAGCGGGGTGCTGGAAGTGGTGTGCTGTGGGAATTTCAGGCTGGCTTTCACCTTCGTGGAGATCTGCATTTTCTCTCTTTGGTCCCTTGTAAATAATAGTGACAGTGTCTGTAATGTGGCGGTTTGGGATGAAGCTTTTGCTTTTGGCTGTTCTCAGCTGCCTGTTACTGCCTATCTGCTGGAGTTTGATACTGTGGCAGCAGAACTAATGGAAGAGGATAACTTGAGCATCGCCGTTTAGTGCAAGGTGATACGAAGCCACTGTAGCTTGAATACCTGCTGACAATAATTTGCAGCCATTTCTGCTGTTAGGCTGACCACAGCCATGGCCACTTGCTTGGAGTAATGATGCTGTACTCCTTTCAGCTAGAGTTATGCATATAAACCACCACAAAATCTCACAAATGTATGATTGCCCATTTCTTGCCACCATCCTGAGAGACTGACAGGATGTATAAACTCAACTTCACTGGCAGAAACCATGCTGACAAAAGCTTGCATGTTGTTGAGGGAGGTGTAGGTGGTCTGTTGACTTCAGATGTGAGATCCTGTACTGGCAGACACATCAAGCAAGGAAAGAATTGTGAGTGTAAAGAGACATGTTCCAGAGGTTAGTTGAGAAAACCTATTTGAGAGTCCTTACTTGAGTATTTTCTGTTTTGTAAACTACTGCTTTTTATTAGAAGCAAGGGATTTTGGTATGGTTTATAGTTATTATACTTTTTGTACATGGATTGCAAATAGATATGAAGATTTTATTACTTGCTGAAGTGGTGCCTTTCTAGTGATATATGTGGACATCACAAATTTAAATAGCTTAGTGTGATTTCCCCCTCCCCCCACATTATCAGCTTATTTCTTCTTTTCTGAAGTCTTTCTGGTTTGAAACATATATATATATATATATATTTTATTTTTTTTAAGTGTAGTGTCCATAATGGATATATGGCTCTAGCTGAAGCCCTGAAAGGAGTGAACTTTCCTGCTGATATGTTCCAGAAAGACAGTTGTATGTTTTTGTCTGGTCTGCTAACTCTCAGACTATGGTCTCTGTATATTCTCTTCTTCTGTGCCACTACTTAACCAGCAATGAATTTGTTTCATAACAGTGTGTTTCCTCGGTAGAGTGCTTTCAGCAAGTTTCATAGATTTCATGTTGATTTGAGCCCATTTCTCTGGTTTACTGAGCCACTGGGGATACAGATGCTTGCATCATCCTCTCTCAGATTACAAACTTATTTTAAAAGTTTTGGGTTTTGTGGTTTTTTTTGGTTGTTTGTTTGTTTGTTTTCGTTAATGAAATTGTTGGAAGGTAATGGATCCAGGACAAAATTCTGCGGAATACCTTTAATGGCTGTGCAACTACTTAACTGGTGATTCTGCAACTATTTAAACAATATTTTCATGGCTAGATTGTGATGAATGTCATGTGCGACGAAGTCAGAGGCTATACTGAGGTCAAGCCATATCTCATTTGTTGCATTCCTCTAATAACACTTTATCTTGTCAGGAAAAAAATAAAATGGTTTTGCGTGATACTCCTTATTCATAACAAACTTGTGTTAACATTTTTTTCTGGAAGTCAAAAGCACACCAAGCAGTTATCTCAGATATGTTTGCTGGCTTGTCTGTAGCCTCTGTCCTCTTCTTCTCTTTCTGAATAAGAACTGATTTTCTGTTTTCTTTTCTGCTGGGATTTTCCCCATTACTCAAGAAAACTTGATTGTCAGCCATGTCAGATCTGCTTTGGTTGGGTCTGGCTGATGCAAATTTATATAAACAGTATTTTACACATTAATCATCATGAACAGAAAGGAGAGCTCAGGGAATCTTTCCAGAATGAACTGGGCTCTCAAAACTGTATGCAAACAGAATTTTGCCTAAAATAAAAAATAGACAAGACAGCGTGTGAACAGAAAACAGCAGAAAACAGTTCAGTAGAATTAAGACAATAGAATCATAGAATTGGGTTGGAAGGAACCCCAGGGATCATCAAGTTCCAACCCCCTAACACAGGCAAGGCCACCAACCTCCAGATCTGGTGCTAGATCAGGCTGCCTAGGGCCTCATCCAATCTGGCCTTGAACATCTCCAGGGATGGGGCATCCACAGCCTGTCTGGACAGCCTGTTCCAACTTTTCCAACACCTCACCACTCTCTCAGTGAAGAACTTTCCCTTGACATCTAATCTAAACCTCCCCTCCTTGAGCTTAAAACCATTCCCCCTTGTCCTGTGACTATCTACTTGAATAAAAAGTTGATTCCCTTCCTTTTTATAATCCCCTTTTAAATACTGGAAGGCTGCATGAAGAAATAACATGGAAGTCATCATACCTGTAGTTAAAAATAAATCTTAAAAATATTTATGGAAAAGCACTAAGATCACTAAAAAGTGGTCAGTTAGGGAAGAAACTGGTTCACAGTTGAAAGGCAGCACTCATTTCCAGATGTATTATACTTGTACATACATTATACATGTCGACAGGTGAGTGTGGGACTTGTCCTCCCCATATAGGGGATGGAGAACTATTGTGTACTTTTGATATTCTAGGATACTTGTACAATGTGGCATGTAATACACATTATCTTTTGGAGTCTGTACACTTCTCAGCCAGTAGCTAGAGGTGATAGGGTAACCTAGGGCATTTTCTGTGGCAGTAGGCACCTGAGCCCAGGCAGGAATCCTGTGAACTGAACAGGGGCTCTATTGACTATTTTTTTTCTCACTGCTAATTGTTTTCTATTTTCTTTCTTATGTTTCTTTTCCTTCAGCTATTTTGTTTTGTGTGTATCTTTCAAGTTGAAATTCAGTTTGTATTTAGAATTTCTGTATGTATATATGTATATGTCTGTAATTGTATGCTATTCTCTTATACCCATCCAATATCCCCATTTCAGCTGTGAGCTCTTTTAACTTTTAGGGCCAGTTCCTTTTTGATTTTTAATTCAGTAGAGAATATCTTGCTGGAACTGAATTAGTCCTTAAAATTACTTCCTTTCCTCTGCATCAGAAAGGATCATTTGCTGCTGTGCTTTTGAACGTAGTTTCATAATAACTTTCACAGAAATTCATATAGCCTGGCACTCTTTTTATGGTTTAGCAAGAAGTAGGACAATAGACCTCTCAGAAAGTTTGTTGTGGAAACTTACTCCTGTTGCTTGAAAGCTCCATTTACAGCATAAAGATGTTTTGGTCACACCCTGACTGACATAACTGTTCAGTAAAGCCGTAGTGTAGGCAGAGCTATGCTGATGAAAGCATCCTTTTCCAGAGCAGGTTTTTCTTGTGCTGTGGAACTGCTATAAACTATCTGGAAAACGAAGTATCTCTTTTGTCTGCATCAGGAGAATTTAGTGTAATGGTTTATCAGTAGACTCTTGCTCATGTATGCCTAGAGTTCCGATATTCTTCCTTACTTTTCAGACACGCTTTGGATAAAAATAGGTAATGTTGTCTAACTTCTCAGTAGGTCATCTGCTTTTTTCATGAAACTGTATCATAAGATATATCAGAAATTAGAATATCCGGCTTGCTGATCAGAACACTGACAAATTACAAATACCATGTTTAAACTAAATTTTATAAAATGTTAGCAGAACAAAAAGAGCAACATATCTTGAAACAATTAGTTTTGGTAATGAACTTTTCCAGATGCAAATAATTTTCATATCTGAATCCAGATATTTGAAAACGTGATCACTCTTAATATTGTGCTGCCAGTGAGATCAAATGGTCGCTGCTTAAGAAATAAAACAAAAAAAAACTCGAATGGTCACACTGGAAAAGAAAAACTAGCTGTGAGGTGTTACTCTTTGTTTGACAACCCCAGAAAGAGAGAGAGTAAAAACTGTTCATGGCTTGTTGCTTTGTTCAGCTTGTATTGATTACTCAAGTTGTGAAGGAATCTAAATGCAGAAGCTGGCATAGGCCCATTGCAAGTCACTGAGTTTTTTTTAAGCCTCTTGCCTGTGAGGAGGAGCATGATGCATGCTCTGGGATAAGGGTCTTGAAGTCGTGGTGCTTAGATGAAATGCTGCAGCCAGTGCAAATGAGGTGAGCTTGAACTATCTATTTACCAGAAGCTTCTTGCCCAAATTTTCCCACAGGGAAAATAATACTGGCAACCAAGCAATGCCTATTACCTTTCTGTCAAGGATAGTTATATTACTACACCAGAAAGCTATTGCTTCACTTTATTTCCAGACTCCTGAAGACCCTGCTCATTTTTTCAAGATCATACTTGCAACTACAAGGTTTAGTAATGTCAGTTACAAAAGCAAAAGTTAAATTTCTGGAACACAGTTCAGTTGTGGGTTCTGCAGCCTCAGAAATGCAAAGCATGGCATAGCTGTGTTCTGTTGATGAACTTCTGTGAATATCCCTTAGCATCAACATTTTTCCTTGCTTGAGTATGTTGTATGTGTTGTGGTAATTTATGAAATGAGAGTTCTTAAGTGTTCTTATGTTCATGTACTGTTTTTGTTTTGTTTTTCTTTTACCAAAGCATGGATTTGTTTCCCATGTACTTTCAAGTGCCACTTTATCCCAGCATATGCAGCATTTGATATTTTCCTGGAGCTCAGCTTCAGTGCTCTGGTAAATTTTTAATATGAAAACTATTTTTCTGCCAATTTTTGCAAGGCTTAGATGCATTCCAAGTTAAAAACAAACAAACAGGGGAAAAAAAAAAAAACCAACAACAACCAACAGTGCAACCAAAAAAATCCACAAAAAACCCAACACCCAACGACTGAAAAGCTAAACACTTCACTTAGCACCTTGGCACATTTTACTTTGGATGTTGATGGTCTTTCACATTCAGAACTCTACTTCTGTAAGTATACCTCTCCCATTAGGGTAGAGGCAGCAAACTGATTTTTTTTTTTTTTCCTTAAAAGCTTAGAAGATACATTTTTACAATGATGTGTCAGTGTAGGAAAGTGATGTCAAACTATGATCTCTGGAAGAAGAATGAAGTGGAAATCGCAAGCAGTAATATAAGTTGCAAAAAAACCCCATGCAATTCAATGGGAAGTGGTAGCATGTTGAAGTTAGATTAAAAAGTGAGCCTTCGGGTCTTGCTCGGTCACAGATGGTCAGAGTATGTCAGCGAGTGAAGCAAGTGTGGCAGGAAAACTATGGCCAAGGAATAAGATAGGATTTTGAATGCCCTAATGTGGCATTTGACTCAAGGTCTTTAATCTTTGCTATATATATCTGTTTCGTTTGGAATAGCTGTGGTTGCCAGAGCTAAACTGCTGGTATCAGTTCTCTGTATTGTCTTTATTAAAATTCAGGTTGCTTGCAAACAGACATGCTTGATAAAACTTGCTGGATCTGCCTCCTGCTGGTCCTTTTGCAGCGGGTATGCACTGTGCAGTTTTATCTTGTCTCAATAGGTATAGAAATTTCGGAATGACAGAAAGGAAAATGCAAATTCATCTTGATCTGGCCGTGCCCACTGCCCTCCTTTCCATGCCCACCAGTCTCTGGTGAAGAACCCTCCCCTGACACAGCTCCATGCCGTTCCCTCGGGCCCTGTCGCTGTCACACAGAGCAGAGCTCAGCGCTGCCCCTCCACTCCCTGTGAGGAGCTGCAGCCGCCGTCGGGCCTCCCCTCAGCTCCTCTGCTCTGTGCTGAGCAAACCCCGCTGCTCCTCACACACTTTGCCCTCCAGACTCTTCATCATCTTTATGATGGAGCCCTCCTTTGGACACTCTCGAATATGTTTATGTCTTTTTTATGTCGTGACACCCAACCCACACCCAGTTCCGGAGGTGAGGTCGCACAGTGCAGAGCAGAGTGGGACAACCCCTCTCACTCGGTGGCAGTGCCGGTCTGCTGCACCCCAGGGTACAGTTGGCCCATTGAGCTGGCAGAGCACACTGCTGCCTTAGATTCGGCTTGCCATCAATCAGAACCCCCAGATCCCTTTCTACAGAGCTGCTCTCCAACTTCTCATCCCCTGTCTGTGCATAAATTCCTGGCTGCCCCATCCTTGCTATTCTTCAAGTTCATATGATTGCCAGTGATTGTGAGCAAACAGAACAGCTCTGGCTTGAAGAAGACATATTTTACTCATTTCATAAGATATTTGCCCGTTATTATGTGATTTTTAAAAAATTCGTATTATTTTTCCCCGTAAGTTTTTCAAAGGCAGCCGTGGCGAAGGTGCCCGGAGCTGGCGGTAGCCGCGGGCCGGGCGTTAGCCGCAGTTCCGCGCTTCTCCACCAGGTGGGGCCAGCGCTGAAGGCTCCGCAGCCATCGGCTGCAGCGGGGGACGTCGGCCCGGCGGGGGCCTGAAAGGCAATGCCCGGGCTGAACGGTAAGGAACGCACCGAAGCGAATGTAGTCAGTTCCTAGTTTTCACCGATCGGTGTCTTAACGCTATCGTTGCTGCTTGGATCAGTGCGATAAAAATTTTGCTTTCCCTACGCTTGCTCTCTTAAACTCAGAAAATTAAGGTGTCAAAAGACTTTTTTTCCTGGCAAAAACCAACCAACCAACCTCCCTTCCCCCAGATGAATCTCTGAAATGCAATTGAGTTTCAACTCTTAACATTTAATAATTGATTTATACTAGTTTATTGTCTATCCCAGTTTAGAAGTATAAGATAGAAAAAAGAGGGGAAAAAAGGCTATGAATATATGTGTGAAACACATTTTCACACTTTTAAAGTGGGTAGGTCAGCTTATTTTTCATTCGTTATGAATGTTGCTCGGATTTCCCTCCCCGGAGATTTGAGCTGTAAGTAGAAGTTTTTCTTTGAACTGGTTTAAACTAAGGCCCTCTTTCTTGTCACGCACAGACAGGGAAATACTGCAAGGTGCTGGATTAGCTGTTCGCTTTTCATTGTTTTCTTTTGTAGCAGCAATCCGTTTAGCTATGGTATGCTGAGTTTATCTGATTAGCACTTAATGAGTAAAGGGAATAGGGGAAATGTTGCCCGAGTTACTTAAGCCTAATAAATGTTTCGGTACCTTCCCCCTCTTTCTAAATACCTGAACTTTCCTGACCCCGCCTTGCTTGTTCCCACCCTCCCCACTCTTTCCCATACGAAATACTCCCTGTGCAGCTCCTGCTGTCAGAGGCAGTGGTGCCATGAGCAGGGCTCTGCTCAGTGCTACCCAGTGGCAGCTCATGTCCTCTCAGAGGGGTTTGACAGCTGCCTGGAGCTCTCACAAATAACTCCTGTGCTGTGTTAACTGCTATGCTGTACCTGGGAACGTCAGCCGACCAAAAGAGCAATAACTTGAAGCATGAATATTGCTAAATTAAAATCACTAGGTATGGCTCTGAGCAATAAGATGATTTATTTAGTTATGCTGGCAGTGACATTTTAATGAGGATTCACTGAAGCTTGAATAATTACATTATATAAAGAAATTAAAGAAAGCTGAGGTTTAATAATCCTTTAAACACTGTGTGCCATACAGATTGCAGTTGCGTTACCACCACTGACTTCACAAGCTGCTTGCACAACTCCCATCTTTTGCTCTGTTCTTCAACTTAATTTCTCACTTCAAGGATTATTCTTTGCTTCAATTCAATATTACCTTGTAAAATCTTTAATACAAAACTAAAAATCTTTTTAAAAAATTGATAAGTCATCAGTTTAGTTTGTCATGCTCAAGTACAGCTTAGGTGGTTCCATTGGTTTTATGAAGAAAAGTGAAGTTGTTTTAATACCAATGAGAATAGGTCCAAGGAAGGTTGGACTGATGTATCCAGGAGAGCTGCCTTATGAACAACTGTTTCTGTTGCTGTTGAAGTGGTGAGGACAAAGTAATGGAAGTTGAGTGAAGTGTCAGATAAGCGTCACTGAGAAAATCAGGCTCTAAAAAGAGAGAGCTCTGAAACCTTTTCAGATTTACCCAGTTAATGAGAAAATTTTTAATAGAAATAACCTTACATTTCTTTTATATGTGGTCACAGTACCCAATTTCTGAGATTTAAAATAAGAAATCTTAGTAAATAGGCAGCTGTAATAGCAGCTGTGATTTTGTAAGAGCAAAATGTGCGCATATGCTTTTTAAATAATTGTAAAGATGTTAAAAGAATGCTGGAGGTGCAGAAATGCACAGAGATGCTTGCAAAAGGTGGAAGACAGCTGCTGTTTCTGAGGCTTGCTGCTCCCTGTGAGCACACCTTGGGGATTTGCCTTCACAGGAGCACCACAGTGCAGAGTGCAGCGGGTTGGGCTGAGCTGCTGGTAGTGTTGGGGCCGGTTGGGAAGCACTGAGCTATGAGCTGACTGGTAGAAACTTTGGAGGAAAAAAATTCCCTGCTTTTTCACTTCATTGATGGTGTCATTTAAACTTCTTCCATTATTGCTTTGTTTTGTACAGTTTTGTTGTCTGCTCCTGATTCTGTACAGCTCATGCCAAACTTTCCTCCAGCTGTCAAAATGGAAGAAAACCAGTTTTTAAGCTGTGAATTAGGTATTGAAATATTTTGTAATTTGATCAAAGGTTTATTTAAATCACCAAAAGTATGTGTGTGTGTTTTTCTTTTCCCCTCTCAGGTTTGCAATTATGTGTGGCTATATGTCTCAGTTTGACAGTGTACAAAACAAAATCAGGAATGGTTATCTCTTTAAGGTATGTTTCTGTAGGCTTTTTTTTTTTTTTTAAGATATTTCTTCAGATTATTTCCCTGCATAGTGTCAAAGAGAGATTTTTTTGAATGTAGTACTTCAGCCTCACAGTTTACTTTGGTGCTGATGTTCAAGTGAAGCTATTTTTGTGTATGCAAATAGATTATATGCTTTCAAAAAATAAAAATTGAGATAAGGGTTCTGGGAGCAGCATCAAGATTCCTGTTTCATTTTGTAGTCAAAAAGGAGAGAAAAAAGGAGTAACAACTTTGTTCAGATAATAAAAAAAATAAGAAAGGTGATGAACAAACACAGTCCTGCAGTCACGCTATTTTTAATGAGTGATGTTTGCTTTAACACTGTCCTCTCAAAGATAACTGTATTCCAGAGTCAGCAGTTTTGTTACATGTGCTCCCTCCCCCCTCATCCTCAGCACTGCTGCTCCTCTAAGTGCCCACTGCACTCCAAGCCAGTGCCCCCATTGTGGGTACCCGTGGGAGGCAGCAGACTTATCTCCCCCTTCCCAGGGAATAACTGGGACAGGTCCCTGTCACATCCTGCACATGGCAGAGAGTGTTGCAGGGCTTTCTTATGAATGTCTGCTGAATCCATCTGAGTTGAGCCAAGTGAGCCAAGCCCCAGGTGTTGCAACAGGCTGGGTCAAAAGGGGAAGGTGACAAGTAACAGAGGAGTGCAGTGGTTGTTTAAGGATGGAGTTTTAAAGGAGCACACAGCACTGGTAGCCCTTTCAGTGAGATCTTCCTCTTCAGGGGTAGTTTCTGAAATCCATGTGAATCATTTGGAAAAGTTAGGGCTTTGATGAAAATAATAGCATAAAAACATAGCTCCTCCCCAATTACTTTGTGGACAAAGTGATAGAATAATAGACTCACATATCTTTGTAGAAATCCTAGTCACTGGTTTAGTTAGAAGAACAGTGTATCTGGGAGTAAAAAAATAAAGCCTGTATGTATTTATTTTGAGAGGCAAACAGCTTAGGGGTGAAATAATGTATTTTATATATTTTTTTTTAATTCAAGTTGAGCAATGAGAGCTTTCTTCAATGAATTTGTAATCTATAATGATAGTGGTTTTGGAGGAATCACCAGATTAGAAACTTTCCAGCTTCTATTGTTTCACTGCAACACAACCATTTTGTTCCTGAATTTTATGATACAATAACACTTAGTTTTGTCTTTTCATTGGGGCAGTTATATTCCAGGGTAATAGAGACTTCAATGATGGGCACTGACATGTCTGAGCTGTCAAAGAGAGTGGTTGCTTTCCCACTGATTTGATGTGAGTCTGTTTAATGCTAACTATATTTAAAAATATGATGGAGGTTGTTGCCTTTTTAAGACAAAAGTTCTTGAGCCCTTTGAGATTTTGAGCTGCTTATTCATGGTCTTGTTGTATTGTGTGCAGAGTTGTTACGTAGCATTGATTGTGGTTTTCCTTTGTAGGAAAAGGGTTCAATAATTAAAATACTTTTAGAACATTAGAAAATAATTACAACAGGAAAGAATTTCTGATTTTTTTTTTGTGTGATTTGCAGCAAACTTCTTAGAATGTGACATCTGAAGTGACACTGTTTGTTTTCTTTTTAATAGGAGCATTTGGATAAAGCAATTGAACTTAAGCCTCAAGATCCTCTTTTATATTACCTAAATGGAAGATGGTGCTATTCAGTAAGTTGTTTTTTTTTTTTATCTAACACTTACTGTATTGAAAAATTAAAATGCATTTGAAGTGAAACAGTGGGACTTAAAACAAAGTAGATGTTTCTTGAAGTAGATATTTTGAACTAAATGAAGCAGGACATGTACGTTTCCTGAATTAACTTCCACATGTGATGTTCCTGGGCTATCGAAATGGCGTGGAATGTTGCCGGAGAATATTGCAATAAAGATTCAGATATAAAATCTGTAATTCACCAAAATGTTTTGCAAAAATACAGTTCTTGTTATGCCAGTACAAGAGCTTTTAAATACTGTTGATTATATAGTTTTAAGTACTCATACGAAAAAAAAATTCACTGGTTTACCAGTTTAGTTGTTGATTATTTATATATTTTTTTTTATTTATATATATATTTTTTAGCAAATGCTTGTGTTTATTATATAGAGTTGCTTTATTCTTAAAGCCACCTGTTTTATAGCTCATGTTCTGTGCTGTGAGGAATATTAAAATCATAGTATTGCTCAGGTTGGATCATCACCTTAAAGATCATCAAGTCCAACCACAGCCTAGATCTTTTGTCAGAAGGAAATGTTCTTGCAAAGTGTGGGCTGTAAAAAACCGTTGGGAGACTTCTCAGAGCAGCAGTGGCTGGTGCAAAGTGAATTCCAGCCCTGCCTTTTCCTCAGCTACTTTCAGTGCTAGTTACTATGTAGTACCTACAAACTGGAAGGAGGGAGTTGCTGTGAACTGCAGCCTCTGACTTTATCTACAGCAAAGCTTAATGCAAGGTAATCTTTCAGTAGCTCTTTCAGATCATATACATAACTTTCAAAAAGCTTTTAGCATCTGGATTTTTTTCTCTCTTGATTCAAATAAAGAATGACACCAAATTTTTTTAAAAAGCTTATCATTTTGCTTTTCATCACAGCTATTCTTGAATGTCAGCATTGGCAATGCAAAAGTGAGTTGCTAAAGACTGCCCCAATAGCATGCTTTCTGCCCTCCTGCCTTTAAAGAGTATCTCTCTTGTCAGTGATTCCTTAAGCATTTTTATATTATGGCCAACAACTGACTGTAGCTCCCATTTATGTCAAACACTTCCAGATGTTTCTCATGGCTTATTTCTCACTTGAGCTATTGCTTTTGGAAGCTTTACACGTAATCTAAATGTACCTCATTTTGTTTATATTGTGCTGCGTTTTTTAATCATTTCACGTTAGTGGCATTTACCACTTACTGGCTGATGCATGTGGTTTGTTACACTGTATCATTACAAATTAATGTTCCACACTTGTATCATCTATGCATTGCTCCCTTCAGGAACAATAAAGCCACTGATGAACATTGCCTTAGGGTGTGACCTGACCTGCATTCTAATAAGTGAAACTATCCACCTAAACTGATGTAGCCACTGTAATACTTAGGATTGATATATGTATATTTTCTTTTTTAATTCTTCTGTGACTTTCTTGCTGGCCGTGACAAAATACTGACCTAATGGACTAAGGGATAGATTTGCATAGTTCAGATAAATGTGAGTGTAGGACTGAGTAACATTTTGTGATAAATTCTGGGGCATCCACCTCTTAAACCCTTTCTGTGATTTGCATGCTTTCGGTAGCAGGATGAGACCATAGTTTGGGTTTTGACACATGGGTCTATTAAGGATCTTAATCCTAGATCATCCCAACTAGAATTTGCTGAAATCCTTATTATGTAGGTCGTTCCGAAAGTAATGCCTCTTGTTTGTTTCCATGGAAACTACAGCAGTTACAAAGAGCACAACAATGCTGTTCAGATCTTTTCAATATCTGCTTGTGTAGATGAATGTTATTTAAAGTAAATATAGTGTTTAGAGCCCTCTAAGTTGTAGCTTTCTTTTTATTAAGAGAGTGAATATTACCTTTGCTCTTCAGGTCAGCAAGAAGCATTTATTGGAAGTTAATTGATCTGTGGTACATAGAGTATAGGAATTACTTTATTTCTTTAGAGTTTTGCAAGTGATTATCTGATGATCCTTAATCATTCAATGTTTCATTTTAATTTATGTTAACATTTAGAGCAGATTTTAAAACCGAGTCCATATTTAGTTAAGATTTATGGCTACTTGCCCTTACAGAACAGACTCAGGATGATTAGCATATGCTTGTGAAACTGGATTGGAGCCTCTGGTAAATGCTAGTGAGGTGTTAAAAATTAGATTTCTTGGAAGTTTGTTTTTGTAGGTTAGATGCAGTGCATTGGAATCATGTGGTGTATCCCAGCATCATCTGTTTGGGTTATGCTGGGGAACAAATTGATCAAGTTCATTTGTGCTCTGTGAGTGTGCTCTTCTTACAGGAAAGTGAAAACCCAGGGAATTCAAGTTGGATAAATGGCTAGATGCCTGCACAGACTGTGGCGGATCCTCAGCTGGCAAGGAGGAGAATATTTGTGTTGGAAGCCAGTATTTTAAAACTGCTGTTTAGTTATTTAATTTCTTCCAGAAATAAAAACATTATACAATTATTTAATACAATTTCACATTAATATAACTTCATTACAAAAAAAAAAAAAAAAAAAAGGCATTGTATGGGGATGTTTTAGTAAATGCCATTGATATTTTATTGAAGCTGGATCAACGGTATTGTTTTCCTTTGTGGAAGACAACTGTGTGATTTGTCATCAGAGAGCTGTTACCATTTAACATTGGAGGAGGAAACTCTTTAAGGTCGTGGGTCAGTCCTGGCTGAATTTTCAATCCAAACAAATTAGTTTTATTGGTGCCAACATTCTGGAGTTTGTTAAGAGATGTGAACGGACAGGGTCTGCTTCTCAAAACCAAGGAGGAGGCAAAACTAAAAAAAAAGAAAAAAACTTCAGTCAGTAAGTGCTTTAGTTCCCATGTGAGTTGTGCTGATGCTATACTACGGAGGAGAAAGACATGTTAAGGAATTCCTTTACACAGTATTTAAGGGAGAACCACATTTACTGCCTTAATCTTCAGTGGAATGAGAGGTCTGATAGGAAAGAGCAGCTTTACAATCAGCTGCAGTTTAATTCCATGGGTGACTCACTTCCCTCTCTTGCTACTAGTAGAGATTCAGGTAGGAAAAGCTGATGAGAGTTTGTTCTTTTGACACGTCTATAGAAGAGGTCTTCCAAAACAGTCATCTCTGTAAGCTTTGGAACACGAGAATGGCCTTTCCTCCTTGCCAATGACCAGGCTGTTGTGGTGGCTCACACTCCTCCTAGCCTGGGGAAGTTCAGGGAGTGGCTGCTGGTCCCTCAAGCCTCCTCTCTCTTTTTTTTTTTTTCTCTTTATGAATGAGCAGGACTAGCTCTCCTCATGTATGGCAGCTGGGGAGCAGTATTCCTCTTCAGAGTGACCCAGTACATCAAACTGAGATATTCTTTGGAAACCCAGCATTCTTGTGGTGCTTTTGTGACTTTTCAGGCTGTTGGGAGGGACTTACATCAGGGCTCTCTTATGCTTTGGAAATCATCTGTAAGGCATTTCCTTCTTTAATTTGTTTTATTGTTGTTATAGTAGTAATTACTTGATGTAGTAGCTGTTTTTCTTATTACTTTCTTTTGTCCATTACCAGTTCTGTGACAGTTATGAATCTCACTCCTTACGGTCTCTTTGTACTTCATTTTCTGTGGACCTTGAGATATGCACTGCACTATATGCACTTAACTGTAGAAGTTAAATTTTCACTACACAAGGGCTTGCTCCACCAGGGTATCTGTTGCCTGTGCTTGTTTACACACAGAGAATACTTAATAAAGTTAGTCGATGTACTAAGAATAATTCCATCTCACTGAACGTGGCATAAAGATTTACTTTAATAAAATTATTTCAAATAAGAAACTGTGTTTTTGTTTGTCTAGGGAAAGAGTAGTATTTCCTGTCCATAGTTATTACTCAATAACACAATTCTGTGTCTGGCATAAATCAGCCCTTTACCCATCTCAGTCATTTGGGGGTACTGACTGACCCAGGTGGGGTGTGGTTAAGGTGTTGTGATGGGATTCATCCGCCTATCTTTAACCATCCACAAGTCATGATTGTCTGTGCTCCTTCTGTAGCTGAAGAAAAGAATGAAGGGAAGGACAGGAGTGTTCATCCTGAACTACTGTAGTTGATATAACAGCAAATGCCTAATAGAGATGCTGCTGACTCTATTGACTGTGTGAGGAGCATGGACAACAAGTGTAAAATAGGTACTTCATTTATAGATGGCTGTAGCTAGCTATAATGAGTTTATCAAGCCTGCAGCTTACAAATCAGGTTACTTCAAACATTACGAAACTGTCAGGCTGTGTAATAGTTGCAAAGGAAAACTTTGAATTCAGTGTGCATAGAATATAAATCAGTGTTGTGCATATGTGCATTGTGCTTTTCAAGATTGCTTTAGGTTGGTGGAATTTATTATATAAAAATGGCCAAGTATATATTTTTAAAAAAGTTTGAATAGTGCAAAGCAGCACCCAGGCCAGACAAAATAATGACTAAAACCTCAATAGATTGGTTCTGATGAAATCTTTTAAGAAAATAAAACAACTGCCAGGAAGGACTTGTGTTTTCAATATGCAATTATAGCTCCACATGGAAAAACAACAATTTTGTTCCCTGGCTATTGCAGAACAGGAGACACTTGAGTGGTAGTTGTGTCTGTGTGTTGTATGTATACCTCCAATACCTCCAGGGTGTTGGGTAGTCTTGCAGAGAACAGTATAAGCATCATTCCATTAGTTGTTTTCCACTTATCAGCCTTCTGTTAGCTCACTCCTTGATAAGAAGAACCTAGACAAATAAAAATTCCTTCCACTTCCAAGAGAATAAAGAATGCTGCAGCAGAAGAAAACAATACATTTGCAAAAATTGTATTACTGCTTCTCACAGAATATGACTTAGAAACTAGAGTGCAACCAGGAAAGTATAATGTGGGAAGGAATTATATACATATCTACAATGTGAACTTTTAACCAACATGCTGCGGTTTGTAACAATGTAAAAGCAATGCAGTATAGATGGGGAGACATCATGTTGTTTCAGTGAGTGAGAGCTCTGAGTTTGCCAAAGAGCTTTTTTATTCTCTTAGAAGATGCTTCAAGAGTGAGAGATGAAAGAGGGAGAATGAGAAAAGCTTTAATTTCTTACTATTGCTTCTCTGAAATATTTTAGTGAGTCTATATGAGACTTACTGATGGCATTTAACAAATAAGGTGTTGAACCTTGTCAAACAACCACAAAGACTTGTTTGGGATGCCTCTGTCTTCAAGTAATGTTGTTGTGGAGCTTGAATAAATGAGGCTAGACAATAAGGTACAGTCTAATGCATTTTCCTGTTGCATGCTGGTCTGTGTTTGTATTTTTTTTGAAATGGTACTTTTAGGCAGTTTGCAACAAGAAATAGACAGAGCTTGATGCCATTCAGAAGAGTAGTGTTCTGGTTGATTGCTTTAATGGATTCTTATATTTTGTCATGATTAACTGTTGTACTGGATAATTACTGAACGCATCAGGAAGGGGGCAAGGGAAAGCAGCAACAGCCCTGAAGAGATTGGGAAGCAGGAAATGAGGTGGGGATAATCTGAAGCTATCCAAAACAATTTTTACAGCAGTAGGACAGATTTGAGCTCAACTCTTGTGAAGATGTGAATTGCATCTGTATCTGAAACAGAGATGTCCATGGGTGACTTGTGTTTCACCTCCTGGTTCTCCAATGGGAAACTCTCTTTCTTTGACTGCATGTAACCCTTTTCTGTATTGCTTCTGCAAGATCAGGTTAGGAGTTGTTAGGAAAACGCAGAACCTTGTTGGTTTTGTTATTTTTAACTCAACTGTACTTAGTGACTGGAGCAATCAATTCTTTGTTTCAAGTATTGATGGGAATGAAGAATGAAGTTCTGACTTCATTTTACAGGTATAGATGTGACCAAATGGGGTGGCTTGACTTCTCTGCTTGAATGGGATCCAGTCTTACATTAAACTTCTTCCTAACTCTGTCCTTCATTAGCGATGTGAATTGTGTTTCTCTGGCTTAGGTGGAGGAGGCAAGTACGTTATGGCAGTAACCAGAGCAGTTTCTGTCAGGTGTCAGTATTCCTAAGGGAAGAAGTCATGTACATTGTGTGTCAATATGACAGTTCTCTAAAGCCTTTTTCATTGCTGCCTGTCTTTCTTGAAAGAGGTCTTTGACAAGTGTTATTTTTCAGATCTGAAGAGAGAAAATGAAACCACTTTCTTAACAGTGATTGTGACCAGCTTCAGTGTAGTAAATGGATTTGTTTTACAGGGGCCAAAAGCAGTGACAGTTTGACTGTAGCAGCAGCTTTCTTTTCATGACGTTGAAAAGCAGTCTGCATGTGCACTACAGTATTAATCTGTCTATCATTAAAAACTTAAACTTAAAAATTTAACTTAAAAACTTAACAGGCTTGAAGCCTTTTAGCCTTAGAAAAATGACAAGGTCTTACGATAACAAACTGTATGTTAAACTTCATATACTGGAAGACTCTCATATCAGTAATGCCAATGTTTTGTAGTGTATTTTTTTTAATGCGTACTTTTCCTACTTAGTGGAAAGTAATATTGAAAAGATTGTTCTTTGAGTTGGAAAACTGACAGCACAAAACATTCCTTTGTGGGTTTTTTTTTGTCTTGTTTTGTTTTGTTTTTTCAAAATAAGTTTCATAAGTAGTACAGCAGTACAGTGAAATATTTTCTCCAAAACAGAGAAGCAATCCTAAAGACATTTGATTTTTATGAATATATATTTTTATTATAGGTAGCTCAATTGTCTTGGCTTGAAAAGAAAGTAGCTACTGCTCTCTTTGGGACTCCACCAACTTCAACAGTAGATGAAGCATTGCAGAATTTTCTTAAGGTAGGTCCTACCCAAGGTTTTCCTTCGCTGTTTACCAGCAGTTATCTGTAATCAAGAGGTCTGCTGAAGAGGTTTTGTAGGAAGAGTCTGTAGCTGTAAATCCAGGGATCTCCTAAATACCACAAAGCTCTACAATAAAATGGTTTGTTCATCTCTATTTCAAAAATAGTTTGGAGATGAATGAATTGCACCTTTCTTTTCTTCGTTTATTCTGCAGAAATCTTCGGTAACTTGCCATGTCAGTAGTTAATGAATTTAAAGTGAAATTAATACAGATTAGTTATGTATTATATGTAGTAGTTATGTATATATAATTATGATGGTTATTTGACCACTTCTGCTAGAAGGTTAACGTAGGCATCGAAAACTTTGACATTGTGACACTTCCATTTTTCTTATCTGAAGCTCTTCACATTTCAATAGAAGCCTTTCTTTTTTCTGGAGGTGAAATTGATGCTTAGGAAAGACCTTTACAATGCAGTAGTAAAGAAGGCTCTGTCACATAAGTCCTTGTTCCTGGATGTTCTACTTGAGTGTGCAGTTATTAGTGAACACAGCATGCAAAAAAAAAAACAAGCTATCTTTCAGTGTCTTTTATAGAAATAATTTCAACTTCTAGCACTGAAAAATACAAGTTTTTCACCTGGCTGAATTCAAAGCATAAACTTCCAGTGTTACAATTCCTTTCAGATAGTTTCCCAAAGGAATTGGATAAGCATATTTTTCTCACTGTCAAAACTACTTATTTTCTGTGTTCTTAGTCTGTTTAAAGGTTGAATACTTTCTGAATTTTGGAGAATACAATACATTGCCATCTTCTCAGTGTATAGGTTTTATCTGCAAGGTTAAAATCCAAAGGTGATAGAAATAATTTGAAATATTCACTTCAGGTTCAGGGCATTTTGTAGGGGGCTGCAGAGTAGCTGCGATTTTAAGTCAAAATCTGTAACAAAAATTAAATTGCGGTCTAAAAGACAATTATATCTTTTTCAATTATTTGATTTTTTTTTATTTGATTATTTGATATTTACAGTTGTAGTGACAGCAGCATTGCTTTGGTTCAAGAACTGCAGCTACAGTATGTTTCACTGATGTAATTTTTCTTTCCCAAAAGCTATTTGTCTATTACCATTGTTTCTTGAATACCAATAAATAACTGGTAATATTTGTACTCATCAATCAAAGTTTTACATCCTTGACATGTTTTAAAGGGAAGATGATCTTGAATTTTTCACACTACCTGAATTTTTTAGAAGATAATAATCTGAAAAGAAGGGTGAACCCATAGCTGGAAAATATGAATATGTGAAAGAGAAACAGTTATCACATTGATAAATACAGTTCAGTATCCATTACTCAACATGCAAATGGTTGGTTGCATATTTCTTTGATGAGGAAATAAATACTAATAATTTAGAGAGAGAAATGTCTTCCAGTCCTTTGTGGGAGTGAGGAAATCCAATAGATGTGCTATAGAATGAGCTGGTATCTGTTCTGAGCAGTTGGTGAGAGAGGAAGCCAGGACGTACAGAACATTTCGGTGTGTTCCACGTCAGCAACTTATGTGCCTGGTTTAGAGTTTGTTTTCTTGTTTGTTTGTTTGTTTGTTTTCATGTTGTTTATTTGTTTGTTTTCTTATTGGAAGTGCCAAACATTGTGGTGCACACAGTGAGGATGATTCAGTCTGTTTTAGGAAGCTTATTGTGTTGTGGAAAATGATATATGGACCAGGTAAATCTCCTCACATGATGTCTGTCTTTATGTTTAGTTTCCTGTTTTTTTTCTCCTTTAGGCAGAAGAAATGCATCCAGGATATTCCAAATGCAATTATGTGTATTTGGCAAAGGTAACCAAGTTCTCTTAAGAATAATGATTTCTAGACTCCGATATTCTTACAGTGGTATGATTGGAAACAAAATGTTTTTTCTTCTCAGTGCTATAAAGATCTTGGCCAGAAAACCAATGCACTGAAGTACTGCGAATCTGCACTATCAGTTCTCCCAGTTACAAATGAGGTGGGTACTGAGACTGATAACTTATGACCATTGTCTGCTTTAGCACCCATTATTACTCTGTCAGTAGTAATGTAATGTTGCACTTTCTTTAAATTTAAACATGGGATCTTCCTTTTTCCTCCACTGTAGGTTGGCTTATTGCATTTGTTTGTGTCCACTGTGTTAAAAATAAAAAATAAAAAAATCTTTGAGCAATTGTCAGGAAATAGTTTGTGCCAAAGACTGTCAGAAATTAAATTGTACTCTTTGTAATTCAGTCTGTTTCATTGGACTATCTTAAGCATAAGCAGTTGTGTGCATTGATGTTCTGAAATTTTGTCTCAGATCTATTTTTTCTCAATTGAAAGTACTTGGGATTTTTGTCTTGAGTTCTTGTTCTACTCCTGCCTGAAGGTCTCTATTTTGTGATCCCTGCCGAGGCCTCCAGGGTGCTGCCTGTTGCTAGCTGTTGCAGCGGTGGATTAACTGGTTCAAGCTTGTCTTTGTCTTCAACTACAATGTGGTTACAGAGACAAGTTTCTTTCAGTTGCATCTGATACAATGTAATTTATCCTAACACGTAATTAGATTCTGTTTTAGACCCGTTAGAGTATTTTAGTATGTGGATGCAAGAATTCTATAAATATTTGTGAAATTTTTAAGTGATCTAATTTCTCAAATGTAAGCCAAGTCATGGCAAGAAGGTTCACTCTTGTTATCTTACCTCATGTAAAAGCAAGTTCCATAATTACTGGTCTATGACTGAAAACATCCTACCATCCTAGAGCATGACAAGTTCAAACTTGAGATTTGTCAGCCTAAGGGACCCCCTTTGAGCACAGCAGATGTGGTAGGGAAGAGGGAGAAAGGTGATTCCAGAGACTAATTGGCCTTATCCCATTTAATTCTTTGAAGTTAAGGAAAAAGACCATTCAATAGCTTTGTAATTTGATTGACAACTAACGCTGTATGTGGAGCACTAGCATGTTTATGTCAGAAGTTCTCACTCAGAAGAAAGACCACTGCATGCCTTACCAGCAGCTGCTTCTGTGTGGCCTTTATGTTTAGTCCAAATTAGAGTATGTGTCAATCATAAATTAAGCAATCATTGCTTAAGTTTAGTGTTTCTTTTCAGTGTTCTTTTAGTATATCCTAACGCAGATATGACATAATATCTTAACTCTGCTTTATTTATGATTGTTGAAATGTACCTTCAGGTTGCCTATTTTGAGGGAATGATGGAAAGACACCTATACATTCTGATGGGTTTTTTTGTACCTTAACTGCTACGTAAAACATAGGACAAGTGGTATAGGCATGGAACTGAAATTGCTTGGACTCAGCCTGTTTTATATATGTCTGCTTTGGCTTTTCTCCTGATTTTATTTATTTATTTATTTATTCTGTATTCAACCTACTACACACCAGTCTTACTGCAATGAACTCAGAACTAGCCAATAAAATTGCAAAAAAGCATGCATGTCACATAAATTTCTGGTGCGCAGAAGGCTACGTGTGTTTAGTAAATTAAAAGTCATTCAACATTCATAGAGACTCCTTGAAAAAGTGTAGAGATAATGTAGTGTGAGATTTGTCTTTCACAAAAATGGCTGGAGAAAATTTTGGTGTTAAGTCACAGGTAGTTGCTGAGGCTCCCCGTACACTCAGTGGAGAAGGAGAGGGGCAGAGAGAGACTGGGTGTGCAGACATGTCTAAGATACATATCTGATACTCCTGACTGCATTGTTAATGCGAGGTGATTCTGCCTGTAAAGTTCTGTCTGAAGAATGCACGAGCTCATCTTTAGAATGATGAGACTTCAGTGCATCCTGGGCCACCTTCGGGCAGGGGCTTAGACTCTTCTAAAAGGAATGCCTCAGCGCATTTCTGAAGTGCCAGCAGACCCTGAGAGCAGGAGTTTGGGAGTGATGCGAGGTGTGTGTGCGTGTTTGTGTATATGTGTATTCTGGCAAGCAGAGTGGTGATGAAATTAGAATTATATTGATTTGTAAACTGAAGGAAAAACAGCAAGTGGGTCACAAAAATCTTTTGTCCATCTGAAGAAGATGGTAACACAAGTCCTCTTCTTTTTAGACTAGTTCTTCACATATCACATATTTATCTGCTTTGGCTCATTCACTTGCAGTGTGTTTTGAATTAGATTTCAGTTCAGGAATACAAAACACTGGAGCAATAGAGTGTAAATCTTTTTTTCTTTCCCCTAAATCACCAAGCACGAGGTAACACCAACCTCATGCTGAAACTAATTATGATGAAATGGAGATCTTGAACACAACCTCTGTTGCTAGCTGTTACCTCAAGTCCCATCTGAATTAGAATATTACGTCTTATTTTGGTTATGGTGCTAGAGAAAAATTCTTACTAATTTTGGGGGAAATGCATTGGAACTGAAGTGGTTCAGGGTTTAGAGCTATATGTGTGAATAATATTTAGTCAGGTTTGTTTAAGGGAGGTACTGAAGAAATTGAATTGACTACAGCTCTGTAAAAGCTGGGATTCACAGACTAAAATAGAAAACAGCTCAGCAGCAGTCTGGGGATTACTTTCAGTTAGCCACAGCACAGGATCTCATGGTTGTCAGCAGTATAGGATGTTGTCACAGTCATGTGAAACTCATCATTCCTAAGTGTAATCATAGTTCCTCATGTGGAGTTTTAAACATTTCTTTCTTCAGGCAGGGAAATTCTTTTATTGTTTCTAAATGTTGGCTTCTGCTGAGAAACATGTATATGTATAAAGGCATAAAAACAGTTGTAGACCATGAGACAAACTTGCTGGATAGGTGCCACATTGAGGAAATGTGTAGTATTTCATGATAACAAATCACCCCGCAGCATAACTATGAAAAAGTAGTAGTAGATAATGGTTTAATTTGTTAGTTCTTCTGAGCATCCCCAATTTCTGTTGACTTCAGTGGAAACTAGAGGTACTCAGCATCAGTAAAATAGCCCATCACTCATTTTGACCCTGAAGTCAAATTCTCAGCTGGTCTGACTCAGGGTACTTCTTTGACACTTTGTCTAGGATTCATTCCATGTAGCATTTCAAGTTAAGTGAGATGAGTTTTGTCTTGAATGTTGTATCACATCCAAATATCCCTTCTGTGAGTGTCTGTTCTACCACTTATAGAATATTGTTTTAATTCAAGGGTTAGAGGGGCTTCCAAACTAATGATTCCTATAAATCCTAGTATAAATGTGGTTTTGTTTGCTTTTTATTTTTCATAGTCAATTTGGCACATTTACAACCAATCACTCCATGGATTATTGTTATTTTTTTTCTTTTGAAAGGAAATACAGTAGATTTAGTGCAAATTAGGTCTGGAAAATGAAACTTGTGTTACAGTGCTATATTATAGACCTTTCTCTCTATCCTCTGTACTCTAAACAGAAACCTCTGATGAATTGTGTGGTCCTTCCTTGGCCATAAATACTGTCATACTGTGGAGTGGTACTACATGGCTGGAGGTGCATAGGGACATTAAATTGTCCTGCTTTTCTCTGGTTGCTGTCCAGGTGGATAACCCAAGGTCCTGGGAAACATTCACCCCTTCAGGAAAAGAAATCCTAATGGTTAGGGCTGCTGTGAGTTATTACAAAGTGGATAACAGCTGCTCTGTTTATCTCATTGAACTTGCAGTACCCTTACTGAAACTCATTATTTGTAAAGCATTCAGAGCCGTGTTGAGTGTGGCTACATAAAGGGCTGTTGAAACCAGATGTGGTGGACTACTGTGATGAAAAAAACGCCTTTTTTGAATTTGGGGAGAAAATATAATTCAAATTTGAAAACATGAACCTTCGTCTTTCATTCAGAAAGATGAAATGAGTGTGTAGATGTGTGTGCTTGATCAAACACACATTGCTTTTTACTTTACTTTACTTCTAAGGTGATTTGTCAGAGCTAGATATGTAGATTACATCAATTTCTTTTTTATGACAAAAATTGCTTGGCACTTTCAAGGGAGGAACTTGTAGAAAAAATTATGTATAAATCTAGAATTATGAAGTATAAAAGTAAAGAAATTATTTTTTCTTATGTCTGGAAGTGAGCGTGAAGGTGGGAATAAACTCTGTGTGCTTTTAGGACCAGTAAGCTTGCCACAGAGGTATTAACCTAAGTCTGGCAGAAAAGAGATGTAGTGGATTGCTTCACTAAAAACTCAAAGTTCTTGTGTCTCCAACGTTTCATTTTATTTTTTTAATGAATCTGCAATGCATCAGTTACATTACAAGAAATTTAATTTTGGAAGAGCTGAAGATAGAAAAGCAGAAAGTGCAGAGCAACTGTATTTGCACTAAGAGTTACTGGAAAGTTGTACTTAAAATGCGGATAAAAACTTTCCTGAAGCTGAAAATGTACTTTATGAACAAAGCAGTGATTTTTAAAAAATCTTAATTTAAAAAAGAATCCCTCTTTCCCAATGAAGGCAATTGAAAGTAACAAGAAAGAGATTTATATATTACAGAAACTCTTCATTATGACATTTGTTTTCTAATGCTGAAGCGTGGAAGGAATCATAATGGGTGGCAAAATTGCTTTTAGCAACAATGACATTCAAAAAGCAGGAAAAACCTATGTGGAGGAGGAGGAGGTGGAGATAGATGTAATAATGTGCAAGAACAGTGGCTGAAGTTTTAAACAGGAGGGCAGCTACTGAAGAGAAATAATATCTGTAAGAGTTTCATGATTATCATGAATTATCATGATTATCATGAATGTGATTAACCTCGCAGCTCATTAAGTTATGTTCTGAATTATGTTGATTAGGAAAAGAGTGGGAGTTTAAAAAGGGTGGAAGAGAGGGCAGAGCATAAACTTCAGCATCTTCCAGTTCCTGTCTCAACAGACCATTTGTATATCTTGAACTTTTCAAAAAGATCTACCAAGAAATGCCCATTTCAGCCAGCCACCACTGATTGACCCTGTGTAGCAGATACTGCTGTGTTATTTCCAATAGAACTCATTTGAGTTCTGCTGTAATCTGTACTTTCAAGTAA